GGCCACAGGCAGGAATGATTTCCTGTGTCGTTCAGTGGTGCTTTTTGGTAATCTCAGTCTCTCACTGAACGTGCTCCTGTGGCTAACAAGCATGTCACGGAGTGGGTGGGAGGTATTGTCCAACATTGTCTTAATCTTGAACAACATCCTCCTTTCAGACACCACCTTAAGGGAGTCCAGCTCCATTCCCACAGCACTACTGGCTTTATGGATCAGTTTATTGAGTCTGTTGGCATCTGCAACCCTCAACCTGCTCCCCCAGCGTGCAACAGCATAGAGAATAGCACTGGCCACAACAGATTCATGGAAAATCCTGAGCATTACACAATGAGACTGAAAACACAGATAACCTAAATCCACAAAAGGCCTGTCACCGGAAACTTCCAGAAAAAGGGGAACTGTAGCAAAGAGAAAAGTTGCTGCTTTAAAGGGAAATAGTGGCCACACTAAATCTTGATTTAGTTCTTTTCTGTAGAATATATGTAATTATTCAGAATTTTGTACAATCCACACTTGATTATGTCTCTTCATAATTAATTAATAAAGGTTATTTTAAAATTGTGTTTGAGCTTTACCACTTCTTAAACTCCTATTTCTATTACAGCACCATGCCCACAACAGATATGTCATGCATTATGTATCCCATGTGCACTAACTGTACAAGTGAGACACTTCCTAATTTAATGCACTATCAAGGTAACTGTTTCTAATGCTTACATACCAATCTGTGGACCAATGCAGAGAAACTGATGTGTCTCAGCGTAAAGGTCAAAGGTCTCCAAGACGCTGTCACCTTTGCCATGGGTGCAATTAGAGAACACAAAGACGTGTGTGCTCTTGAGACACGGCCCCCCTCCCACCAACCTCAGAGCCCAGGCCAATGCTTGATGGCACAGGATAGAAAGTTTACCACAATAATGGCTGGACACCATGAAGATGGTGGGAAGCAGTGGCACCAAAAGAGCAATCAACCACATGTGGTCAGCAAGCCTTCAAATTTGTGGGTCAAAAAGCTGTATTTTTGTTTTTTCAAAATGACCTTTGCTTTCAGTTTCGTTGAGTGTAGTTTTGATAACAATTTATTTATTTTTTATTATCCTCCTTATTAAATCACAGCTCTTATTCCTGCCATATTACTTTATGGGGAAAACAACAACAACTTTTGTCTTGCATTGCTCCTGGCTAGTGCTGTAGAAAGCAATCATATACTTTTCCATTCTTTCGGCACAGAGTTCTTGTAAATAAATTACACAACCTTTATTATTTTACCATCAAGTCGCAAATGTAATTTTATATCTAAATAAAAGAGACTGCATCTTATTTATTAATGTGAGCATTCACAAACTTTTTTGCAAAAATATCATCTTTATTAGAGGCCTTATTCTATAATTGTAGCCTACTGCATCATTGCATAAAAATAAACAAATAAATGAGTACAACCTACATTCTTTATCCATTATATTTAATGATAACCATTATCACATCCA